CTGCCGTCAGTGCTGCACAGCCTTCTGTAAAAACAATTAGGCCTTTGACATCTGGCACAGAGTGCAATCGACTCTGGCAAAGACAAGTGAGGGCAAGCTGCGTGAAGCTCCCCAATAAACAACTTTTTACAGACAACAGTTCAGAGCGGACACAAGATCTGATTAGTATAAGAACTAGAAGAAGAAAAGTCATAAGCATGTTGAATTATCTGCTTTCTGATGGTGTAATATTTGTAGCAAACACAACACAAAGAGTTGAAGTGTCTATTAAAGGAAAATAAGTCTATTTAGTTGAGTCAAAGCTATGTGTGACTCCACGGTTATCAGACATCACAACACTCTGAGTGTAATCCCACAGCGAAAAGGAATTTAGAATATAAAAGGTGATTTTCAGAAAGCCCAATTTCTCTTGACCCCTTTTAAACCACAACTGGAAATTAAAAATAACAAAATGAAAACAGGATCAATACTTTAGCAAGGGGTGCATGCATGCACTTATAACAGAAAAGGTGAAAACAGATTTAAACATTAACCACAGTTCTGTTGAATTCTGTGGAACTCAAAAGTATTCAAAATTCAATAAATAAATAAGACATTATGAAATAAATATCTACATGAAGAAATACTAGACAATCATGTAATCTGACAATGAAATGATGAAATAACAGAATGTCATGTAAAATATAAGCTCAAATATGAAATATTTTCATTCTTCTTTTAAAGGGGCATTATGGAAGTGTGACAGCCAAAACATGTATAGAAATAATAAATTTCTTCTTCATACATTCTCCTGCAATGCCCTGGTCCTGTAGAATGAGCCCTGACATTTTTACTGTGATTGCCTGTTTTTCTGTAAAATCACAGAAAAAGAGAGCTGCTCGGGTCGAGTAGGCTGCTTCATGCGCGTTCACACTCAGGCATAGCCCGTAGCATTTGCTATCCGCAGCAGAGAGAGAGGCAGTGCCAACTCAGTGACTTTGTCGCTGTTCCTAATGCCTAATGATGAACCTAGCTACGTTTCTGAGGACCCTTAGCTACTTTCTTCTAGATATTTCCTGCAAATTAGCAACAAAATAGCCATTTTCGCTCCGAACCGTTCTTTGAACGTTGTTTCAGCTGTCATCAAGGATATAAATGTTACAGATACAAAAGACATCACTGGCGCTTTAGCTCACCTAGTAAGACATTGGACTCTTGTGCAGAAAATTTGGGGTTTGATTCTGGATGTGAACATGGTTTAATTAGAGTTTATTTTTTACATTAATGGTATATTTTTTACAGTAAGATGCCCATATTTTTATTTGAGACTCGCCGAACGGCATTGAATTCACAGATAAAAAAGATGTGGGTTCAACTTTCATTTTGGAACAATTTTTCAAGCAAGGGAACGGCATGATCCGAGCATATGGAGCTAGGATTAGCAATTAATTAGCTGTGCGTTCTCCTGCCCTCTGGGCCACACACACACACACACACACACACACACACACACACACACACACACACACACACACACAAGGGACTGTCAGCTCTCAGAGCTCTGTGAAGCTGACCCCCGTCAGCTTCACAGAGCTTCGTCTCAGCTGTTATTTTCATTAAGGAGTGTGCACGTACAGCATGCACGCCTCGTGTACGAGCCTCCTATTGAAGCTGCCGTTACGCTTTTGGCCAGAGGGGGCAATCGCGAGCATAAAAATTTCTTAACTCCGTAAAGTCCCTTTAATTAATTAGCTGCTCGTTCTCCTGTCCTCTGTCCTCCGGGCCACAGACACACACACACACACACACACACACACACACGCACGCACACACACACACACACACACACACACACACGGAGGAGTGTGCACGTACAGCATGCGCACCTCGTGCACGAGCCTACTATTGAAGCTGCCGTTACGCTTTTGGCCTGAGGGGGCAATCGCGAGCATAAAAATTCAAAACTCCGTAAAGTCCCTTTAATAAAGCCATTTAAAAAAAACTCTTTTTAGTGTTTATTACAAGGTTTATTATAATCATCATAAATAATCATCATGGTTCAGTATAAATGTATTTAATTACTGAAATTACTTATTATTCTTTGGGTTAATAATAATTATTATTTATGATCATCAGTAATGTTTGATCAGTAACCAGAAGGTCATTTGCACGTGTACACAGCATGCAGAACTGAATCCAGGGTAAAGTTAATTTGCTCTCACATGTCTTTGCTCCATAACAAGCTGTCTGACGCTGAGAGGGCGTGTTCGGAGGTTTTGTTTAAACCAAAATCTCCACAGCTCAACTCCAGATCTTGAACCAAGCAGATACTCTCGTGGCAACGAGAGTCTCATGAGGATAAGGGTCGGCCGCCTGAAGCCTCCACCTGCTGTTCTGTCACGCCGATAGAATCGCTCCGAATAACGCCACAGTAGACGCAAAACTCCTTCATAGTTATTGATTTTGAGACACAACTAGTTTCATCAGTCGTTGTGACCCGGAGACATCTCGGACTGATTTGGTCGCACTAAGGTCCTTCTACCAACCTCGCGCTCGGAGGACACCATCTCCACCTGACATCTCGGATCCAACAGAGTGTCTCCTGAACTGGGCGAGGTAGACACTTTCCGACAGATGGCGTCTGTATGCTGTTCTCTCTAAGAAACAATTCAGTTAGCTGCAAAACAACTATTTTAAACTACTTATTTACTTATTGAATTTTGAATACTTTTGAGTTCCACAGAATTCTGCCTTTAGTCAAATGGATGGATGGCTTTATTTTTTTGTGACATTTTCCTCCTTCAGCCACTGTGGCCCAAAAATCATTTGTCATTTGGAGCATTTTTCCACTGGCTCGATCATCCACAACAAATGTGTCCTTGGTGAAGAGCAAGATGAAGAGCAGTTTAAATGAACATCATGATACAAACTAACACAGTCTGGCTAGACTTAGGTTGGCGTCTGTGTGCAAGCACCTGGTGGCCCTTGTGGTCAGTTGGGGCTAGCCTGAACTGGTTACACGGGTTTGCCTCCGTGTAGACCTGGAGGAGGAGTGAGAAAGTTCTTGGTGTTAAGTGGATTGGTCAGTTTCTCATTTGCTCCTTGTTTTAACTCAAGCAAATTTCTCATTAATCAAATATAGACTGTTTGAAAAGTTTAGAATAAACAAATTTCATTTTTAGAACAACATCTGACCGGCATATTAAATGTGATTTCACAGATTTTAAGCTTTTTAAATTTTGTGCATAAAAAAACTCATCTTCTGACTTTGGGTACGTTACTTGTTCATGATTTTGCTGAAATGTTAGTGTTTCACATAGCCTGGAAAGCCAGACTATATAATCATGTATGAACTTTGCAAAGCAAGAATTTGGTCTAGTTCGCTAGGCCATGTTTCACCGCTAGATGGCAGCACAATATTCACAAAATAAGTTGCTGCTTCTCTTCATCTTTATTTAAACAACTTCTCCTCCACTGATGATGTTCTTTTTTTTTACCAATATCTCATCATCGAAAGATAAATAGCCTCAGATCAATAATATAGTGGCCCTGCTACAGCACTCAACAAAAGTGCAACAAAAACATTTATTCTTTATTTGCCAGGAAGGTGCTATTGAGGTTCAAAACCAAGAGGCAGAAGAAGATACACTCACAAAATGTCTCAGTTACAAAATTACAGAAAGCAGTTACAACACAGGGAATCCGTCCCAAGTGCTCTCAATCTGGTTGTATTCAAGGAGATAAACTCAGTTAATTTCCAGTTTTCCTGCAACCTGTTCCATGAAGGATCAGGGTGAACAGAGCAGATGAAACATGAAAATGTCAAAGAAATAAAACACCTAAACAAATGGGAAAATCCAACAGCTGAACTGAAAAGGAAGATACGTTTTCAGAAAATGCAGAAAATAACAACACCCGAAAACATGACCAGTCACAGAAAACAAAACTAAATAATTCTATTCTGATTATTTTGCTGGCTTCAAAAATCGTTTTTTTTTTTCTTTTCAGAAATAACGTGTTTGTTTGACAACTGTGTAAGTTATTTCCTAACAGGTTTACTTGACTTTTGAAGAACCATAGTGTGTTTTCTGTTTACTCTCTGCTTCAGTCAGCATAGTTGAACCCATTGATAGGAGAAAGGTTTATTAAAATAACGTAAAATGTGCCAAATGTTTGCTTTCTTTTTAACTATCATCACAGCAGCATTCAACAACACAAGGAAATACCTTTCAAGTTAAACTTCAGACATTCTGAACACACACACACACACACACACACACACACACACGCGCGCGCGCGCGGGTAAGGTAAAAACGGTGGGAAGTCCCCTAGCTGCTTTTGAATAAAACGTTAAACCGGATGCGATGCTTCCTTCAGCGTTCGGTTGACGTCACTAAAGTGCGTGCACTCGTATGCGATCACGAGTACTATGATCAGCCACTTAAATCCTTATTTTCGCAGCAACAAAAGTGAATGTAAACGTGTACTAACCCTAACCCTGTGCACTAACATTTGAGCTACAGCTGACAATACTGAAAGCGTCTACTGACGAGTCTGATACTACATTTCCCATCATCCTATGTGAAGTGAGGAAAAATTTGAAATCACTGGCAAAGTAAGATTGTTGCAAATGTTTTGCCTTCAAAATAAAATCAACACGCTTTGTTGCTGTTGAATGAACAGAGATGCTGTTATTTATAAAAGTTTTTTTTTCATAAAGGTACGTGTTTTAGGCATCTGACCACAGCATTTCTATTTGCATTGGTGCAATGTATTGACTACCAAATCCCAAAAAATCACAACACAAGGGAATACATTAAAAAATCTGTTATTTTATTCTTCTTTATGTTAAAAATGTGGCTCGTCTGACATGTTTCAGTGTTTAAAATAAAACAAAATAAACATCGCGCTGGAATATTTATCCTGGAACTAAATCGAGGAAATTTTAGAAGCAGTTTAATTTCAAGAAGCAAATGGGATCACGTTGAAATATCAGTGTTTTACGTTGAAGCTCAACCGGAAGTAGTAACGTTGTGAGCAAACTTGTGCCGTCGCTACTGAAACCGAAACTGGAGAGTGTTTTCTCCTGTTAGCTTGATGCTGGTGCCGGACGGCTGCCATTCTGGACCCAGACTGAGCCGAACTGTGTAAGTAAACCCGCTTCTCGAACACCGCTCGCTCCTTCGGTGTTTGCACATGGACACAAAACTCTTAGATACAACATTTCTGAGCCGCAGCAGAAACGGCTAACCGAGTGGAAATCGGTCGGTGTTTCAGGCCCCACAACATAGATCTCTAGGGAGGATTTGTGCGCTGATGATGGTGATTGAATTAAATTATTTACCGCAGTGATGGATGCCCCGGTACTAAAGGTTGTACTAACGATAATACAAACAAGAGCAGTGTATTTATTTTAAGACTGAATCCAGAACAACTCATCTACTATAAATCAGCCAACTGAGATTTCCACAGGGATCAGTTAGCGTCAGCGTCTATTTACAATAGAGCTGATACATTTGCTACTGGACATTATTCGTTTATTGTAGCACTGTACAAAAGTCCTGATTAAGGCCCAGTGTCTTTATTTTTTGTTGAAACGAGACTCTCATTTAAAACAATCTTAATAGGCAACATCCCGATTCTGAATAAATCTCAGTGTGACTGTCGGAAAAGATGATTTTAGACCCAAAAGGGGGAAGAATTCAGTGGTTCATTGAAAACTTGTACAGAACAGCGGATGAATGACGCAACTTTTACATCTCTAATGGATTTCAAAAGATAAAATCCTAAAAATGTGACTTTTCAGAAGATCAGCATCCTCTTCAGGAGAGAGTTTCTACTGTTGTGAAACCTTTTTTATTTTGTGTTTTCATACAATGAAATTATTTTTATTGTTATGTATGATATAAAGAGGAGAATGAAGTATGACCACAAGGTAAGGCTAAATAATAGAAATTAAAATGATATATTTACACTAGACAGTAGACAGTTTAAATGGCAGCAAGGTTAAAGAACAGAAAAAAGAGGGAAATGTTGAAAATGCCTGGACAATGCAAAAGAAAACAAAAACTTGGACAATTGAAGTAGAACTAACACTGAAACAAATGTTAGCTACAGAAGAAAACCTGAAGTGTAAACCAAACCACTGCACACAATACTGAGATCACCATGTTGGTGTGAGCATGTTAACCGTGCTATCCTGATAGTTTTTAGATACAACTAAAGACATTTGAAAAACTGTCTCTTCTGAGCTGCCATAGCTGAATAAATTAGTTTAATAGCAGCATAAAAACATGTTCCTTCATAAATGTTGTGATAGGATGACTGAAAGGTCACTGCCCAACACACCAGTGGCAAGTCACAACAAACACTGTCATTGTTTCTTGTTTGTGCAATAATACCCGGTAAAACAAGGGCTGCACGATTTTAGGAAAACCCGCGATGCGTGATAACAGTGATTAATATTGTGGTAACGATGATATGACTTGCAATAAATAAACAAATAATTAACTCAAGAACGAATAAATAAAAAACAAAGACATTTAAAAAAAAGACTTAAAAATACACAAAAAATGGAAAAGTAATAATTGTGATCAAAAGATGTGAGGAAATGGAAAAAGAAATTGAACAAGAAAAGGTGATCAGTGGATCCTGGGAAACGCAGAATCGGCAGAAAAAGCAGAACAAAGCTAACTCAGGTGTTTGCTTGCCATCCAAATTAAGTGCTGCCTGGCTAGGGGGCGGGCATCTAACCTAAAAGAACCCCGATTGGCCAAATGGGTGAAGGGCTCCATTTGCTTTGTCAACGCTTCATGCTTCCGTTTGATTGAGAAAATGCATCATGTGTAGCATACATTTGAGCTGACCATTCATTTATTGCGTTTTTTTCTGTTCTTTGCGATATGTGTATTGCGAACGCCGATATTGCGATGACAATATATTTGTGATGTAAGAAACCCCATGTTTCAATGCTGCAGAACTTTTCATCCCATAGTCACTTTAACTCAAATCAGCTCAAAGCATCCAAAAGAACACTGTAAGTCATAGTTTTTGACTGGGTGAAAGGAGGAAATGTAATAAACACCCTGTATACATAAAAGTTTTCCACAGAATTTGTGCATTATTGCACAAATGTACTTATGATCAAATGTTAGTTTTCAAATCAGAGAAACATAACAGTCTGTTTATAGCCACAGCATTCAGCGACTGGTCACAGAAAAAAGAAACTAGGAAGTAAATCTACTTACAGTAATCCCTCGCTACTTCGCGGTTCGTTCATCGCGGATTCTCTGCTTCGCGGATTTTTTCTTTGGAGCATTTTTCAAGGGGAATTCGCAGATTTGCGGTATTTTTCACTGATTCGCGGTATTTTTCTATGCGAAATATCAAGAAATTCTTGTTTTTTTTTCATCAATTTCATCATAAAATGCACTTTTTGTAATAAAACTAAAAAAACCAAGTAAAAAAATTTTTTTTCTTGAGTTTTACCCACAAAAAGAGAATGTGATCATACGAAAATTCAATATAGTACTGTATGTCAGACAGGTCGGCTTGATTCGGGAGCTGAGCTTGTAGGGAGCGTGGTTTCACAGACGCGGAAGTGATAGCGTCGGTGAAACGCCGGCTGATCTAGGAAACCCTCGAGTGTTCGAGCGTCAACGAAGTGACACGGAAATGCCGGGCTTTCCAGAAGTAAGTAAGATAACTTACTATGAGCTGATAGTTCGTTGGATTGATCGGTAGGTTGGAAACTCTGATCATGAATCTGAAGAAACGATGACTGAGTGGTGAGCTGGAAAGGCGACTTCCGTTTATAGCCGCGGTTTGTGACGTAGGTGCGACGTAGAGGGAATCCCCGCTAGGGGCATGCTGGGAGTCCCTACTTCGCGGATTTTCACCTATCGCGGCCAGGTCTGGAACGCATCTACCGCGATAAACGAGGGATTACTGTAAATCCTAATTCCATTTTTGGTTCTTTTTTAAAACACAGAAAAGGTTTCTTTTTACCTTGCTTGCTGACAGTTTCGTTCGCGACTTCACAAGTCAGCGCCACTGTCAAGTCCTGCTTTTTCCAACTCCGCCGCATCACACATCTTAAATCAATCCTCAAACGCCCGCATCTTGAGTCATTCACTCATGCATTCATCGCTTCACGTCTGGATTATGCGAATTCTGTCCTGATTGGGATTAATGCTTCAGCCCTAAACAGACTGCAGAAGATTCAAAATGCTGCAGCCAGATTTTTAAGCAACACCGAGCGTTTGGCACCCTCTGTCAGATTCAAGTCGGCCCTTAAAACACACTTTTTCACTATCGCCTTCCCTCTGTGAGACTTTACATGAAAATCCAGCACCGGGTTTATTTTTCTTAATTTAGTTTTTATGATTCAGTAGTTCACTTTTAACACCTCGCACCATCTTGTTGCTTTTTTGGTTTTATTTGTGCCATTTCAAATGGTTTTTATCATTTGTTGCATTATTTTTATTTATGATAGCGCTGTTAACTGTTCTCTTATTCTGTTGTTTTTAGTAGGAATTTTTATCCTTGATTATTTTTGCTATGTTTTTATGTATTTTATCAGATTTTCATGCTTTCATTGTGTTTTGTTGATTTGTTCAAGCATTTGGCTCTTTTATGTACAGCACTTTGGTTAGCTGTCATGCTCTTTTGAGTGGTGCTTTATAAATAAATTGGTATGGTAAATTATTCATGGCCTTTGAATTTCCCAAAACTCTTTCACCAAACTCTAAACACGCACAGATCCAAGAAGAACTTGAACGTTTTGAACACAACACACACAAGAAGTGGAAATGTGGGTTAGAACAAAGAAGACGTACTGAATTCTATGTCAACACATCAGATCTCCAGTCAGAAACATGTGGCTGTAAATTCCTCCAGCATGTCTCTAACGTACAGCCACACCTGTCACTGAACACCAACCTGTTCCTCCGCCTTGCAGACTTCCTGTGATGCCCCAGGGCGGGCCGAGCTGCCCGGTTTTGTGATGCCGTACGTGGACCGACAGAATCGCATCTGCGGCTTCCTGGATATCGAGGAAAATGAGAACAGCGGCAAGTTTCTGCGTCGGTACTTCATCCTGGACACGGAGCAGGGAAACCTGCTGTGGTTCATGGACAACCCTCAGGTGAGTGATTCTGAGTCTGACATCAGCCCAAGTTCAAATCATCTCAAAGTTTGTCATGACATCAGTTTTAGTGCCAGTTCAAAATATTTTTTCCTCCAAAAATATTTTTGTTTGTTCCTTTTTGTGTCATTAAATGTTGCTTTTCAAGTTACAGTTTTTCAGTCTCAGGTTGTCCTTCTGAGGACACCAGAATTTCAGCTCTTGTTTTGTCCCGCATTTCCTGCCAGCTTTTGGGCCATTCTAAAGTTTGCTTCTGTGAAAAAAATATAAATTATTCTTATTTTGCTGGTTTTAGATGTTTTCTGTTCAGTGAAATGATCAGAATGAAATAATTTGCATTTACACAGAAACACAGTCTTGAAATGCTGAAAAATCCCTTCATGCCCCCCACCCCATCCCCCCCCCCCCCCCCCCAACAGCCCAGAATCATCCCAGTTTTCCAAAGTGTCCATGTGGCTCCACCAGCTGTTGCTTCTAGATGCATTATGTCTGAGGGATTGGAGACAGCCCAGACTAGCGCTTTTATCCATTACACACAATGAAATTCAGTCATTTTCCAAACCCTTGTCCTGAGTAGGGTTGTGGGCAGCTGGTGTCTGTCTCCAGCAGTCACCGGGGGACATCCTGGACAGGTCACCAGTCCGTCACAGGCAAAGAAACCTTCCCTGATCTAAAGACATTATTATTTTTAAATCTTATTTAAACAAGAGGAAATAAATGGCCCACACCTTTCAGTCACTCCAAAACGTTAACACTAAAGCATTCATTATGATATGATTGAGACAAATGATGAGATGTTTTAGTTAGAAAATGATGGGAACAGCAAACACTGTCGTTTCAGTCATTTGGTGACAAAATGCAGATGACCCAAAAAGAGCAGCTTTTCTAGGAACAAATGGTTGTAGCACACTTTAAAGAGCAAACCGTGGTCAGTTCTGGAAGCGGGAGCAGGTGACGCGTGAAACCTTCCAGGTTGGAGGGAAACGGTGTAAAGAGGAAGTGATGTGTTTATAGAACAGAACTACTCTGAGCACATGACTCCTTTCACCTGGGTGGTGTGTTTCACATTCATGTGCACCGATAATCTGCCCTGTCCAACCTGAAAGTAGAACAATGCTGTCAAACAGGAACCAGAAGAAGAATAGTTAGAGAATTTCAGTCCCTTCTGGCTGCAAAACTCCTAAAATAAAAACTGAGTTTTGGAAGTTTAAAAGTTTATTTTTTTAACTTGTTATAAAGCTTGAACAACAAGTTCCTAAACATGGATCTGTTTTTGTTTGATTTACATTTTTAATCTTTTTTTATTTACATGAACAGTGCTGTGGATGGCGATGCCTCAGTCAATTGCAGTACCTTTAAAATCTGGATTTAAATATATATTAGTGACTGTTTCTGATATATCCTGTCATTGTTGCTGTAAATTAAAATCTTATTCCTTCATGACCGACTGTGTGTATGGTTGCTGTTCTACGGTCATCATCTGTTAGGTCACAAGAATTAATCTAATTTTAATCTTTTTGTTTCGTCTTTCCAGAACCTGCCTAAAGGAGCAGAGAGTGTGGGCTTCCTCAAACTCACCTACATCTCCAAGGTTTGTCCTTCCTCATGCGTCCTCAAGTGGTTTTGTCTGTTTTAGACGGACGGAGAATCAGGTGAACTCATTAATGTTTAGGGTTGGGCATCGAGCATCGATTGGAACCGGTTCCAACTTTTAGTTTTTCCCAGAATCGTTCAAAGTTTTTTATTTCGATTCCTAGAATGCCGACCGGAAGAGGAATCCGCGGCCGATCTCCGTGAAAAATAAACGTGATCTGCAAATTGTGATCAACGCTTTTCAGAGCTGATCTCACCAGCTGTCTGTGTGCAGCACCGAGTCCCCCCTCCCCCCACCCGGATATAAACAAACGTGTCTGCCGAACTTTTACTCCGTAATGTAAACTTTAATTCCTGCAGTGTGGAGGAAACGTGTTAAAATATGTCAACACGGTGGATTTAATAGAAGCTTTAAAGAACAAACTCTGGATGATGTGAGGAGTTTGTCTCACTGCAGAAATAAAAACACACACGCAGCGTCAGCAGTCAGACGCAGCCGCTCACCAACACTCGTGTGTGTGTGTGTGTGTGTGAGCGTGAGCGTCAGAAGGCTGAACAATAACCTGTAGAATAATTAAAGTCATCATGCTAGAGCAGCTCCTCTGTGGTGGATGACACCAACTTCTGCCACAATAAATAATAATAATAATAATAAATCACAAACAAAGTTGTGAACATTGTAATTTCCATTCTGAACTATTTCTGTTGAGTTTTAATGTTTAAAATCTGTTAGATTGTTACTGACAGCAGCTACATTAAGTTTCACTTCCTGTTCTGACTGAATGCTGCTGCAGCATGGAGGTGTAGTTCTCGGTCATCCTGGACATGATCATCCTGAGAGTTTTAGCTGAAAACAGCTGGACGTTCCTGGACGTGTTGGAGACATTTAGCCTCTCATCCCAGAGGCTTCTTCCAGACTTTGGTTGTGGTCAGAAACAAACACACTGGTTGTGCTGCAAGTCTTTTTCTTTTTTTTTCTCCAAAACATGTTTTTGTCTAAATGAAGGTGATGTTGTTCATAGAATAAAAATTCATGTTGAAGTTAAGATTATTTCATCAAGTAGGATCTGTGGTTAGCTAACTCCTGTAAAACACGTCATGTCTTGAAATAATCAGAATCGGTAATCGATAGGAACTGGAATCGAAACGAGGAATTGGAATCGGAATCGTTCAAAATCAAACGATGCCCAGCCCTATTAATGATGAAACACATCAGATATTTTAGGATGTTTTTGTATTCTATCATATTGTTCAATAGTAAAGGACAAATCAACACAGATGTCCATAAACGGACATAGAAGAGAGATCTGATTGAACAAGACTGAAGTTATTGTCTTTTTGAAATAAATGGTAAATGACCTGTATTTACATAGCACGTTCTTAGGGTTCTACAACCCCCCAAGGTGCTTTCACATTACAATTAGTCATTCACACACTGATGGGGATGAGCTACATTGTAGCCACAGCTGCCCTGGGGCGCACTGACAGAGGTGAGGCTGCCAAGCACAGGCGCCACCGGTCCCTCCGACCACCACCAGCAGGCAAAGTGGGTTAAGTGTCTTGCCCAAGGACACAACAGCAGCATTCTCTGGTGGGAGCCAGGATCGAACCTGCAACCTTCCAATTACTGGACAACCCAGTCCTTCAATCCTATATCCTTCCTATCTCCTGAGCTAGTAGCTAAGGAGATAGGAAGAATATAACAAGGATAGGATGGAGGTTATTGATCATCTTGGCTCCAGAGGAATAAAGACAAAGACCCAGGTTAGAAATCTTGGTGTCATAACTGATTCAGACCTGAGCTTCTCTGGTCACATTAAGGCTATAACTAGATCAGTGTTTTATCACCTTCATCAAATAGCAAGACTCAGGGGTCTCATGTCCAGACAAGACCTATAGAAACTCATTCATGTGTTCATCCACAGCAGGCTGGACTATTGCAATGGTCTTTTGACTGGTCTTCCCAAAAAAAGGTGTGAAGCGGCTGCAGCTCATACAGAATTTTTCTGCTAGAGTCTTGAGAAGAACCAAGAGAACCGAGCACACCACTCCTGTTCTTAAATCTCTACACTGGTTACCAGTAAACTACTGAATCTATTTCAAAGTGCTTCTACTAGTTTATAAATCACTCAGTGGCATGGGACCAGAATACATGCTGGATCTCCTTCCTGAATAAATGCCCAGCAGGGCTCTGAGATCCTTAGGCTGGTAGAACCTCGGATCAGAACCAAACAGGGTGAAGCTGCTTTTAGCTACTATGCTGCTCACAGATGGAATCAGCTTCCTCATGACCTCAGATGTGTCCCAACGCTGGTAACTTTTAAACCAAAATTTAAAGCCTCCATTGCCTTTGAATGATTGTTTCTTGTGCTGCACGTTCTGCACTGTAACTGCTCAGCCTTTAGCTTTTTCTTTTATCTGATTCTTAAATCCGAATGAAAACTGTTGTATTTAATTTGATCTAAACTTATTTGTGTATTTTATTTATGATGTCATGCTGATTTTGCTGTTCTTGCTCCTGTGTATGAAATGTGCCATGCCTCCCAAAGAGCTTCTAATATTGACAGTGTTGATTGTTCGTGGTGACATAAAGATGTGTATGACTTCATATTACATCTGACTGGAACTGCCAGGCTGCGCAGTGGTTAGAGCTGTTGCTTTGCAGCGAGAAGGTCCTGGGTTCGCTTCCCGGCCTGGGATCTTTCTGCATGGAGTTTGCATGTTCTCCCTGTGCGTGCGTGGGTTCTCTCCGGGTACTCCAGCTTCCTCCCACAGTCCAAAAACATGACTGTTAGGTTCATTGGTCTGTCTAAGTTGTCCTTACGTGTGTGTGTGTGTGTGTGTGCATGATTGTTTGTCCTGTGTGTGTCTGTGTTGCCCTGCGATGGACTGGCTCTCTGTCCAGGGTGTACTGATTGTCCATTGACCGCTGGAGATACCCCCCCCCCCCTCCGCGAGCCTACCTGGACAATTGGGTTCAGAAAATGGATGGATGGATAGATGGAACTGCCAGGTCATTGTACCGGGACACTTCTTCTCTTCGCCATCTAAGAGACCGTTTAACTGTCGTTCTCTCCTTCTCAGGTCAGTGATGCCACCAAACTCCGACCGAAAGCAGAGTTCTGCTTTGGTAAGATGTTCCCACTTTCTCCCACACACATCTCAGTTTGCTCTTGGTTTTTCTTTTCACCCCTCCTTTACTTACCGCCTCTTTACCTACACTGTGCCACCAGTGCGTCCATGTCTTATTTGCTCTGGTCATTGTAGTGTAATGGTTATTGGCTCTTTTATTAAAGAGGAACCATTCTACATATTAATTTGAGATATTAATTTTAATAAATTAATAACCAAATTTTATAGAAATAAGAAGACTCAAAGGTTGTTTTCATCGATAAACTGATGATCATATCCGTGTGTCTGTGTCTCACGCTACATCATACTTAATCTACGTATCCCACAACGGAGAGATTTCAGTTCTTTCCTGGCCATCACTGAGACCCGAGACCTCTAAATCCTTGTTCCCCCATCCTTCCTCGTCATTCCACTTCCGTTTTTTCTTCCCTCCCTCCCTTCCTCCCTTGTTTCCTCATCTGTAGAGTTTATTTCCTCCCTTTTGTCCTTTGCTACTTGTTTTTCCACTGCTGTGGAACAAGAGCTCTTTGTCGCTCAATAAGAGGAAACTGTACAATGACAAAGACCAGATCTTTGTGTAAGTATATACTCACATGTGTTTGAATCTAGATGGGATGTTAATATTGAGCCACACATCCTTTGGCCCCTGAGAAACCAGAAACAAGTTGATATTTTTAGACTCCTGTGAAGCTGAGCGTTTTCCTACCTAGGAGAAGTGACATTTCTCTTGTCTGGTGTCTCTCTGCAGTTATAAATGCAGGAATGAGGAAGATCTATCTGCAGGCCAATGACCAGCAGGATTTGGTGGATTGGATCAGTGTTCTGAACAACGCCACCAAGATTACTGTGAGCCTCACACACTTTGCAGTACACACCGATCAATATTTGACCCTGTTGTTCTTGTTGTTGGGTGACACGTTGTGCGTTCAGCCTCGGGTTATGGCAGATGGAAAATTGCTCATCAGACCAGAGACATCAAGCTCAGAGCAGGGTCAATACAGCGTAAAGGATGACATCAGGAACGCTACAACCACTGTGTTCTGAAGTCTTTGGACAGGTGGCAGGATTTTAATAAATACATGGTTTGTGAGCAGCTTTATTTTTTTTTACTGATGAGTAGAGGGGAAAAAGTAAAATTTAACATTTAAGGCTAAATCTTCCCCGCTTTCAAAGAATCAAGTGCTGATTATCCTACAAAGACCTTTCCTGAAACGATAAGATTTGTCAGAGCTCAAAGTGAAAATAAAAGCAAGTGGAGTTTTTTTTTCCTGTAACTTGTCGTCAGGTGTCACTGCGTAAATATTTCAAGTTTGCTAATTTATATGACAAACAAGATGCTTTAACTCAAGTGATGCAACAAAAAGGAATGGTGTCTGGAGTTCAGCCAGAATCTCTCTGGGCTGCAACATGTTGGAGGTACACATACTGAGAAAATGTGAAATATCCAGTTGAAATCAGACTCGAAACAGGTTCCAGATGTCTCTAGTGACTTTGTGACTATTGTAAGAGAAAAGATGGTTGCTAAGTTTTCCTGCAGTGAACGATTCAGTCTTGAATGAGAAAACTGAGAATTCTTGACTCATTCGCTGCCAGACGTTTCCTGGTCGGTAAAGCCCTTCGCTGCCAGCGTTTCTCACTGTTTTTTTAAGAGTCACAGAACGTTGCACGCTAGGATGATGTCGACGCCAAAACAAAGCAGAGACTCACCTCTTAGGAAGAATCAGCGCGTTTTGAGTGTTATCCGTTCTTTGATAATCCGTTGTTGAATTGTGATCGGCAGAAGCGTTTCCGGTTCGCGCCTCACTTTTTTTACAGCAGCGGCTCAAAGCGATCTCCTAACACATGGATTTTCTGTTTCCTGATCACATGATGTGTGACTTATGTAGATGAAGATCGGCTTTAGAGCTGAGATGTTTGTTCTCACGGTGCGGGGGCTCGTTCCGATGCCCACTCAGTAAAAAAATGCAAATGACGACTTTAGTCGTTTTGTAGTTCGCTAGGCTATCAAACATCAGAAGTGAAATAAAATTCAAACTCTGAGCTTATCTGGTGTTTTTATGAATTTGGTAATAATGTCCTAACTATTTAAAAACAGCTGAGTGGAGGCATGAAATTAGTTAAAGGTGTGGAACTCCTCTGATTATAATCAATGACTCTGAGTTTCACATGCAGGCTGAACATGAAAATAGTCTCCTACACCTATCTCCTGCATTAGCTTCTGATAGAAAATAGACGGTGAAACTCTAGGATTTGAAAATCCTGACAGATCTACGTCACACTGTCACTTAACATTCATGGACTCACCCATATTGACTGACGACGGAAGTGCTGTTGGTTTAGTGTTCAGGAAACAGCAGAGAACATCTCGACTAGTAGAAGCTAACCATTAGCAACTTAACCACACAGCAGAACTCCTTCAGGCTTGTGTTATTTGTAGAGATAAAACATTGTTGCAGCGCAAACAGAGTCAGTGGTAGGGTCATTAGCCAATCAGAGGCGAGATGTACAAATATCAGGAAATAAGACTCCAAAACCTGTCGTGTTCAGCTCACCTCTGATGTGTTCCAAGTTCCTGAAACTGGCACACCTGGGCTTCTTCCCTCAGAGTAGGACTTACAAGGCATTCATTCCTCCTAGAGACCACTGCAAATGTATTGATTAAACGAGTGTCCCACACCTTAAAGATCAGTCCTAATCTGTTGTCATCGTAAATGAAACCAACCCTACAGATTACCAAGTGGGGCGGCCATCGCAGCACAGCAGAAAATCCCTCTGGTTCCCAGTATAGAGATGATCTACTACATGTTTTCCTCTTGTCATGATTCAGGTGCCAAAACCTGGAGAGGGTCATAACACCTACGTAGAGACTCCTCAGGATGTTCCTGGTGCCATAAAACAAGTCTCTTACAAAACCGAGATCATAGGTGGGGTTCCCATCATTACAGCCACACAGGTGAGTCTGTTCAGCAGCAGCAGGTCCAGTCTTGTCTCTGCTGGTATGCAGCAACAGATCTCACTCAATAAACAGCAAACATATTTGATGAAACAGACTTTTCTTCTAGCTGCTGACTGTTTATTAGTTATCTACATAAACTATAAATCAGTTGCCTCTCCAGGTGCATTGTGGGTTATGTGTGTGATGTTCTGTGACAAAGATGAGACATTATTACTCTGGGTTTACTGCTTAAATAGTTAAGTTATTTCATAACAACATCATCTTGTGACACAAAAAACAAACAACAACGTAAAACATCAGTTTTTCTGTAAAATGCTTAGACAGGATGAATTATGGGATAGTTGCCATGGTGCATTCTGGGAAAGAAAACTGCTACATTTGACTTTGGGGTAATTGATATATTTTTAAATTGTGCTAAACACTTTTGATATCTGATATCAAGAGGTTTCTAACATTGAAAAGCATGCTGAGGATGGAATTTGTGATGTGTGTGTGTGTGTGTGTGTGTGTGTGTGATGTGTGTGTGCGTTGTAGGAGCAGCCTGAAGGGCAGGATGCATTGGATCGAGGGAAGCGGGCTCAGGGCAACTTCCTGTCTAGAGGAGCAACAGATCAGAGTTTTATAAAGGCTGGATACTGTGTTAAACAAGGAGCTTTGGTGAGCGAGCGAGCTAATGTGCTTGCGCGCACGCACACACACACACACACACACACACACACACACACACACTTTTATTTATATGTTTGTGTGGACCTCCAATGACTTCCATTTATTTTAGTAACTCCACTATGCCTTTTCCTAACCCTAATCTAAACTAACCTAAACTCAAAGCTAATTCACATCATATCTCTAAACCAAGCATTAGGGTGCTTAGCATTGTGTGGACCAGCAAAATGTCCCCACAATGTGGAAATGTCTACACACTACAGGTTAAAGTCAAAATGTGTCCACTTAAACATATAAACACACACACACACACACACACACACACACACACACACACACACACACACACACACACACACACACACACACACACACACACACACATACACACACACACACACACACACACACACACACACAGAGGGAACCTTTGATGCTTTTCTGTTATTTGTCAGATGAAAACCTGGAAGAGGAGGTACTTTGTCCTGGATGAAAATGCTTTCAGCTACTTCAAATATGACCAGGTGAGAGAATCAGATGTGCTGCTGCTAACACGAGTGTTTAAACCTGTAATAACACCAGCTCCAGATGTGATCCAGCTATTCCTCTGGAGCCATGTTACAACATTACTATGATGTGTTTGTATTTTATATGTGAAGGAGTGTGTGTGTGAGTTGTTTTCCCTCAGGCTGACGTGTCTACACGCGTCCTGAATCTCTCCTCATATGAGCCACGTGTGGACACATTACTCAATATTGTTGCAGCTACAGCCTGTCTGAGCACATGTGGACACACCCTGTGTGTGTGTGTGTGTGTGTGTGTGTGTGTGTGTGTGTGTGTGTGTGTGTGTGTGTGTGTGTGTGTGTGTGTGTGTGTGTGTGTGTGTGTGTGTGTGTGTGTGTGTGTGTGTGTGTGTGTGTGTGTGTGTGTGCGCAGAAGCAGTCGTGTAATCTGACTGATGAAATCTGAACATGTTGATGTTTGGAGACAAACTAAAGTTTAAATTTCTGGTTAATCTTTATCAGGGTTGTTTTTGATGTGGTCTGTAATTTATGGTATGATCACAGTAGGACTCCCACATTAATGAATAAAAACATTTAAGGAAATTTGGGATTATAAATCAGGTAAAAGGACTGACTTTGGATTCTTGTGTAGATAATTAACCTTTCAGTTTGATTGAATGTTTTCTGGTGTAAAAAGATCATCATCAGCTATGAGATTTCTTTTTTCCATTTCTTACTGGGGATGTAAGAAAATATTTTTCCTGCAATATTATATCGATATTCAAAAGCTGCGTTTCACATTTTTGGAAGAATTTACATGCAAACATTTGTCTATTTTTTGTGCAATTCAAAGGCTGGCCACTAGATGGCAGCAGTGTGCAATGGGTTTTGGTTTCACGTTGAAATATAAATCCCTCTGTCATTTATTTATTATTAACTTATATTTTAGAAGGATCAAACCACTTGAGATGAAACACCTCGTTTACGAGTGGGTCCTCCTATCATAGAGAAATGAAATGCAAGAAGACAGAGGCAGTACACTATAGAATGAAACAAACACAATCCAAAAACCATTAACAAATGACAACTGAGAAAATTTATGAATAGATAACTAAAGAAAAACTGGACAAAATAAATAAGAATAAATAAATAAATGTAATAAATCCTGCTTTGGTACAACAAAAAGAAAGTCAGACAGTGGCTTCAAAACAATTACAGATCGGTTTCACATACTCATAGAGAGAGTTTTTAAACAGGCAAAAAGAGGAAGTGGATCTTATATGAGCAGGTAACTTATTCCAGTCCCAAGGAGCTTTAATGCAAAAGGCAAGTTTCTTAGGTGTGTTCTTGCTGTGTCTTTCTAAATCCATGCTTTCGTTCTTTTTTAAACACAGAAACAGTTTGTAAACAAAACTGTTTCTGTGTTTAAAAAAGAACGAAAGCAAAGGCAAGTTTCCCTACTTCTTTTTTAAAACGAGGAAGAACAAAGGTTAGCTGATCATTTATCCTGGTATCATACACAGAGTTGAAGGGTATTAATAACATTTTCAGGTAAGATGGAAAAATCAAAGAATATACATTTAAAAATAAATAAAAACCAGTGAAATTGTCGCCTGGCATTTAAAGAAAGCCATGCAAGACAATCATACATTTGACTGTGGCGTGTTCTTAAAGGTCAATGTAAAACAAAACGACATAAGCTATTGAATATGATATCAAGGGATTGAAGACATGTAACTGTAGAGGTCTGGTAATGGTTCAGATACCTCATGTTAAACATGTATCAGTTTGGACTGTTTATTTAATTTTCCTACAATAAATTAATTGTAAAGAAATCGCTAATATCGCCTGGTAGAATGTATCGCAATATATCGTGATATATCGTATCGTCTCCCCTGTATCGCGATACGTATCATATCGCCAGAATTTCACCAATACACATCCCTATTTCTAACTAAGTTTATTTATCTGTCGCTTGTCCTGCTTCAGGATCGCGAGGCGCTGAGGGTGATCTCGCTGAAGGAGATCCAGAAGGTCCAGGAGTGCAAACAGAGGTCAGAGATTCTGTTGGAGCTGCTGGTGAGCCTTTTTCTGACAGGGTCAACTAAACACTGTTGGGTTCTGTCCTACAGCGAGCTGATGATGAGAGACAACCTGTTTGAGATGGTCACCACCTCCAGAACCTTCTACATACAGGTGACACTTTTCAACTTCTTAGGTCATCTTCAAGTGAGTCAGGTTTTATTTTCTGTTTTAAATGTTTTTGTTGCACATTAAAGGCTGATAAGCAGTTCATCTGTAATCATTTTGATCATAGTAACGCTTTTAAAGAGAAAAACAAATAAAAAACAAAAAACATGGTAATGTTTAAGTTTTTTAAATTCACATATTGAAGTGTCATGTTGAAGAAAGATTACAGAAAAAACTTTTATCCAAAGTTCTACTAAACCAGTAATAAACAAAATCATTCATTTAGGTTTAAAATAAAACGGGTTTTAAATGAAATGAAAAAGTAAAGTAAATTCTAAAAAAAAATTCGCTAATATCGTCTGGTAGAATGTATCGTGATATATCGTATCGTCTCCCCTGTATCGCGATACGTATCATATCGCCAGAATTTCACCAATACACATCCCTATATGTAAATGTGTTCAGATGAACTGCTTATCAGCCTTTAATGTGCAACAAAAGTAAAAGTAAATGAGACGGATCCTTGTTTTTGTCTGATGTCAGGCGGACAGTCCAGAGGACATGCACAGCTGGATCAAGGCCATCTCCGGAGCGATAGTGGCTCAGCGTGGTCCCGGACGCTCGGCCAACACGGTGTGTATGCACACAGGTGGAGGTGTGCAGCAACTGTAGATAAACTGAGAAAGGGTTGGATAACACCAGAATGTCTTCAGGTTTGAGCAACTGATCCTTTAGTGACTTTTAGAAGAAGTCGTGCCTCCTTGTGGCAGAATGTGAAGTAAAAGGTTTTATTGTTGAATTGTTCCGTTTTTGTTTGTGTCTTTCAGTTAAAATTAATATCCACATTCTTTTATATTTACACTTTTTGTAGATTTACACTCTTTCCAAACAATTTTCAGGATTTTTGTGGTTTTATCTTTTTATTGTCTTGATAATGAGAGATGATGATTAGTGTTTTACTGTCCCACATCCTGTCTCACAGTCTGTAAAACCTCTCCCTTATTTTAAAAGAGTCCCCTTCTCTTGTGTGAAAGAACTGAAACTGCAGGTTGTCCTCAGGAGTTGCCTTTTGTATTTGTGCCGTTTAATTGCAGTAATCTGCAAACTGAAAGTTTTGGACATTTCTTCAGATATGAATGCTTCATGATCAGACTCAGAATTTACATTCAGCAGGAATCGGATCCGTTTTGTAATGGATCAAAACTCAACACTTTTGAACTGTTTATCTTGAGGAACCTGTTAAAGTTCAAGGCCGTAATCTGAGCCTGAGATTCACATGAAGGCGATGTACACCCCCTGGTGGTGGGTGGGTGTATGTGTCTCACCTCTATGACTCAGCTGTAAACTGTTATTTTCAGATCCGTCAGACCCGACGGCTGTCCAGCCCCTGTATGCAGAGGTATACTCCGTTCTGCAGCACGTATGTGACCCCGAGTCCCTTCAACACCCCCATCCCTCTCATCCACCGCTTCTCCCCCTTATTTAACCCAAGTTGGTTCCTGGTTCCTCCGCCACATGAGCTCTCGTTAGTTTGTATGTAAACAGAGCAAACACTGCAGAAAGCTGAAAGGCAGGAATGAAGGATGCAAGTCGATTACTTGCTTTGGGTCATATCTCTAAAGCTGCCTCCTGATGGCTATTACTATAATTATTTATATATCATAACCGTATACCTAGTCAGTGACTCAAACAGATAAAGCGGTATCAGGTGGTTCCTCTCCAGTCCGAGTCCAGCTCTTCATACCACATCCTCCTCTCTGTCCGCTCTGCCATCAACTCAGCAGAATTACTCCAATGTTTTTATTTAGATAAGTCTTAATAATGCTACTTAACATTTTAACATGTGACTTCATTTAACCCGACAACCGGTGTCTCCCTCACAACATGTTGATTTTCTCATGTCTTTGTGTCTTTGGTCAAGCTTGAAGGACGCTGGCAGTCGGTCCACCCCTCAGCTTGATTTTACAGAAACAAACTCATCCTGAGCCTTTTCTGTCTGCCTGCTAACCCTCTCTCATGTCTGTTTTTTCTCTGTGTGTGTGTGTGTGTGTGTGTGTGTGTGTGTGTGTGTGTGTGTGTGTGTGTGTGTGTGTGTGTGTGTGTGTGTGTGTGTGTGTGTGTGTGTGTGTGTGTGTGCGTGCGCGCGTGCTCATGGGTGGGTACATGTGTTTGTGTGTGTGTGTGTATGTGTGTTGACGTGTGCATCATGTATCCAGAAAGTGAAGTGTGACAGTGACACAATAACCTTACCCCAATGAGTCCTGCCACCCGCTTCCTGTCCCTCCCACTGCTGCTCATCGTCCAATCACCAGCCCCGCAGCCTCTTAGCTTCCTCACCAATGCTGCTTCATCCTGCCCTGCTCCCTGGCAGCTACAGCATCATTCCTTTGTACGTGAAACTGCATGAGACTTACAGCTGAGAGTGGTGTGTGTGTGTGTGCGTGTGCGTGTGCGTGTGTGTGTGTGTGTGTGTGTGTGTGTGTGTGTGTGTGTGTGTGTGTGTGTGTGTGTGTGTGTGTGTGTGTGTGCGAGCGAGCCACTGTCTCAGACAAGTTGTGCAAAACAGATGCAAAGTGATTGTGATCTTTCTGGATACACGTTTTTTATGGAACCACAAAATTCCTGATTAATTCATCAGAATTCCGAATAAGAAGTTTCACAAAGTTTGTTGTAAATAAAATTTGAGTTCTCATATCTAATTTAAACAGATTTCAAATTTGTTTAATGTTTAAAATTTCCCTACCTTTAACTGTGCCGCACATTTAAAATAAAAGTCTCTAAGAACTAAAACGACTGATGACGTGTCAGACAGCCCCCTCTCTCCTCCAGCAGTCAGAAAATCGAGCTACATTTAATGAATTTTATTTTATATCGTGTTTTTACTGTAAACTCTGAGTGTCAGAACAATAACTGACATTTACGTGATTAAATGTAATCTGCTGGAGTTCCATGTTGCAGAGATTTGGCTGCTTTACTTCTCTGCTAATATGAAGTGTTCAGAAAGGTCTCAGGTCACAATCTTTCCTTAAACTACTCTTTGGTCACCAGCAAACATCAGAAGGACAATTCAAAGCAGTTTCCTTTCATCTGTTGTTATTTCGATCTGCTCTTGGTGTTTAGTAACAATCAGAATTGCACTTTTAAACACATAACATTTATTTTTCTAAACTTAGTACAAATATTTACAGTTGAGCACTCTTGGTTTTCCACTTCACATTGAGAGATGGACTCGCCCATCTTGGCTTTTGACTGGGGTGCCTGTGGTTGGTTTCGCGTCCAGGAGAGAATAGAGTACATCTTGGCAAACTTCTCAGCAGATTTGAACCAAACAGTTGAATCTTTCTGAGCTTGCTGGTGAGCAAAGAGACGTTAAACTTCGATAAATAAACCAGTTTTTCTGCTATTTTCTTCAAAAGTTTAAATCATCCATCCCTCCGCCCATCCATTCATCATCCCCATCCTCCTTTTCACCTCACTTCCTTTCTCCTCTTTTTGTCTCCAGGAGCACAGTGACCCCCCCACTCCCTCCTCAGCTCCCCTTTCCACCTTCTACTACGACTTGGAACTACAGCACCCAGAATCCTCAGCGGGTGCTCAGCCTGACACTGGACACTCACCACCAGGACAACTTTCTGGGCCTTCTTCCGTGGAGGCTCAGCAGTGTTCAGCCCGTGATTATGCCATTTCCGTCGGCACGTTCCCGCCTGTCGCTGCAGGAGACGCTTCGGCCCTCCAAGTGACGGAGGATCGGAGACGCTGCAGCAGTGGTGAGGACCAGCAGCAGCATTCTGAAATGGTTATTACCTTTATGTGAGGACGAACATGGTGGTGGTTAATAAAAAAGCATCCAGACAGCTCAGCTGGTCCGTGGGCTCGGCTTCCTGGGACCTCTGCTCTCTGTCTTCCTGAGTTTTTGTACCGGTGTGTGAATTCATGAGAGAAAATGTTCTGACGTGTTTCAGCCAGAGCTCGGTGATGAGAAGATGTTGGATTCATGTTTGAAACAACCAAAGTTTTGCAGCTCAGATGTTGTCGTGATCTGAAGTTAGAAATGAAATCTTTTCTAAAGACAATCCTGCTTCTGTGTGTTCACATTTTAATCCTCATCTTCCACGACTTAACAGAACGCTTCCACGTTTACCAGAGAACATTCAGAACATTCAGCCGATTTATTAAACGTCTGAAATGTCTTTTTAGTGTCACTAACACAACTTGAATGGTTTTAAATCACATTAACTCTCCCACTGTCTTTATGGGTGTGACCCCGCCAGGAAAGTTGACCATTGAGCAGGACTGATGGTTTATCCCTTGGGTCCATGTGGCAGGGGTGAGGAGTGAGCACCAACCTCACCCCTGCCATGTGGACCTCAAGGGATAAACCATCAACCCTGCTCAATGGTCAACTTTCCTGGCGGGGTCACACCCATTAGGACAGTGGGAGGGTCAAAGCTGCAGTCTTTGGATTCACTTCTCAAGACTAAAAAGTTCCTTCATCTGGGATGTGTTTGTGTTTCTGGAGTTTTAGGAAAATAACTGAAGCTAAATATGGAAATGCAGATCAGGGAGAACCTAATCGGACAAAAGCATTTGGCATTACGAGCTTCTACTGAAAGGTTCTGGGTCTTTTAACAATCTCACATCTCCAGGGACCATGCTGTGGGATAAAACAGTTCGGTGAAAAGGAACTGAATCCCTAAAGAGCCCGACCTGGATGAAAGCAGCACCATGTAAACATTCTCTCAGATGGATCGGTTTTATTTTCTTCCTGCTCTCCTGCCTTTAGCTTCATGTTTTCTTGTCACGTTAACGTTTCAGCCGTGGGCTCGTGGGATGTTTTTGGACTCGAGCCACTCTGCAGGTTCTTCCCCCTGCTGGCTCGCTGGTTATGGGTGTTTTTTAAGTAATAATATGTATGATATGTAACATGTATGATACTGACGTTTTATAAACACATGACCTCCCACCCCAGTTGTTCCCTGTGACACATGAGCTGGGTAAAGTGCCTGCATCGATCTTTCTAAGAGGAAATTAAAGATGATCCTTTTTAGTGTGTCTGATTCTAAAACCATGTGCTCTATTTATTAAAAGGTATTAAAAATGATTCACGGTGCTTTTTTCTTTGTGGAACTTTCTAAAATAAAACGTCTTCTAGTTCATTAACTCACACAATGGTTGCATCGATGTCTGTTGATGTTGGAATGGTCTCCACGGTTCAGACGGACGTTACTCAGTAAAGCAGCAACATTTAAAGGAATTGTTTGCATTTCTCAGCATGTGTTGTGAATGTTCAGCTAAAACTAGCTCCATAGCTCTGATCAAAGCCATGTTTGTGTTCACTAATGCAGACCAGCTGTGTTGGCCATCTACATACACACTGAATATAAACAGTTAAATATTCTGAATGACTCATGGAATCTGTTAGTATAAGTCTGAAAAACATGAAAGCAGGAAATTAAACAATAAAACTTAGAGATGCTGAGTTGTTAAACACACAAACAGATGTTTCCAGCTGCGTCAGATGCTCTGCAAAACAGACTGAAACTCCACCGCTATGTCGTAGATCACAATTGTTTTTCACTTACACAGTTTTAGCGACTAATCCTTTAAAATGGGCTTCATTTCTTCTACTCAGTCTCTCCTGACAGGTCTCTCTGAGGCAAAAAACAAAAAGTTCTGACTGCATCTTTGTTTTTAAAACACTTTTACCTAAACAATCTGAAGTAATTTTTTACTTTGCTCTGGTGTGGACATATAATTTAAGCTTCACGTACTTGATCCAAATAAAAAAATGTGTTTAGGAAAAGTTACAAAATACAAATATACAAGTGACTTCAAAATCCATAAAAACAAAATGCAAACCGCTGAAAACCTCCATGTCACAAAAGCAAACTAGTCTTTAGTTTATAGGTAGAGCCAATAAAAGTCAGAAAAGAGCAATTAGAATATTTGACAGTTTAAATGTTATTTGAATTATTTTATTAAATGTAAATCACAATTCTGTAGAACAATGCAGATGCTTGATCCTGATTATTGGACTTCACACACACACACACACACACACACACACACACTCCTACTCCCACACAGACATCTTCTAAATGGCATTTGAGTCTCCAGGAAGGATTCCTTGTCCAACCGGAGCAGACAACATTTCCTCTGAGACTCACGTTTGTTTAGATCAGCTCAGTGTTGATTCTGACTCCTACTACACAAACGACTCACAATAATGATTTTCTGCTCTGATGTGGATGAGAAATTATTTTTGCTGCTTCTTGTCATTTCACTATTTTATTACTGTTGAAAATGCGCAATTAAAAAAGGGCAAATTGTTGGAATTTCACCGAAAATGCATCAGCACAAGAAATCTTAACGTTTTCTGTTAAACGAAGTGTAAACTTGATTAAATAAAGTGAAGCTTTTCTCTTTTCCTCATCCAAAATTTGCTCACTGAATGCTTCCCACTGTCACAGCAGGAAATGAAACATCTGTGAGAAAACAACGACTCACTCGCATCTTAGAAACCCTTATATAACTGAGCTAATGCTAATCACATTGAAACGTTTAATCACTGCCTGCAGCTGGAGCCACTTCCTCATGTTGCCGAGCAAACTCCTAAAAGTTACTGGAACTAGAACTTCTCGCCAAAGCCAGATGTAAAGCTTTTCTTTTTAAAACAACTATTAGCATCAAAGAATTTTGATGAAGACTCATAAACCGGACTAAAGAAGTCATGCTACAGGTTTGAAATGATTATGTTTAGTGATCTACTTGAACAAATGTACTTTTCGTCAACAACTAAATTAATCCTATCAGAGGATCTGATCCCAATTGACACGTTGAGAGCAGGAGGTTAGGACCCAAGGTGCAGGAAATCCAGAACACACAGGCAGGAGCGGTTGAAAAGTAAAAATCCTTTATTTAGGAGGAGAACAAAAAATCCAAGGGGAGAAGGCAAAAGCCCAATAACTAAACTAAACTAAGACCAAAATCCAAAAGCTCACTTTCTGAGTGAGACCCAAAGACAGAGACTGGAGACAAAACAACACTGACCAAGACAATGAACCAACAACCAGAGAGTGACAAGACAAGGCTTATTTACACATGGAGAACAATTAAGGAAACAGGAAGCAGGTGTGTGGAGTGAGGGCTGGAGGGAAGGCAGGTGACACAAATTATCTAAATGGGGAAAACAGAACCAGTGGAGGGCAGATAGACCTAAAACATAAAACTAAACCTAAGACTGAGGGAAGGACACACACACACACACACACACACACACACACACACACACACACACACACACACAAACACTGAGCAGGGGACAAAGAGGCTGGAGCTACAGAACGTGAAGGAAGACCTGGAGGGCTGCGGATGAATGAATGACACAGGACCTGGGAGGAACTGACTTTAAAGGGCTACAAACATGACACATGATTGAGACGCAGACACAGGACACATGAGGGCGCTATGAGACACAGAAGGGAATCTAGAGAGGGATGGAGAAACATCAGGAGGCACATAAGGAAGGGGCAGACGCAGACCATGACACCAATAAAGCCATTTAATAAACAAATTACCCTGATCAGTTCTTCTTGAGAATAAGACAAGACTTCCTTTAACAGTTAAATGTCTCACAAAAACCCCAGGAGAACCTTCAGAACCCCAAATGTCTCTGAAACTCATCAGTTGGTTCTGTTCAGTCTTTCACAGTGGGCTGGTTTCTGTACTGGTCCTCGAGAGCTGAAGGAAAGTTTCCACTAGGGTGGATGATAAAGTTCTATTCTATTCTGTTCTATTCTATTCTTGTGCACAATAAAATGAAAGCCAGTTTAAAATTCAAACAGACTTATTTTAATGCTTTCCACCCATGAGGATGTTTCACCAGCAGAAACATTCTCAAGCACGGATAGATTAGCCTGGCCAGCCAGCCCCATGCTTCCTTATGGGAAGCATTCGTTCTCTGTGTGTGAGTTGAACAAATGAGTCTGGCAGGCCAGGCTATAGATAGATGTAATTACTCAGACCACATGTTGGCCTGCAGCGACACGACAACAGGTCGGCCATATCGGGAGGGGAAGGTTTTGGGTCAAACAGCAGTAGCTGCACTTTCAGCAGGTTTTAGTGTGGTTTTGCTTTAAAACATTTCCGAATGACATCACAGGAATGAAACGTCCGAACCACCCTGTGATCTGAATATTTAAACATCTCATCATTGTTTTCAGATTTGTGAAACTGAACAATGTCGGACCTCCTCACACTCCCGCTGCATCCAAGAGTCACAACAGTTAGTGAGTTTTTGCATCACTGACACAGCTCCCCTTGAGTGTGCTTCCATGGTGATGAGGTGACAACAGCAACACACAGATAATGAGAAATGGAAATCCCCTCCAAATCACTCCGTTTACTGAGCTGTATGAGAGCCTGGTCCGCCCTCAGGGTTCCGAGTCAGAATCAAACTGTGGACCCGTGAGAGGCTGAGCAGCTCATTACATCACTTCTGTGTTTCATCAACTCAAACTGTGAACAGTGTTTTCTTTTAAAATATCTCATTTAAATTTTTATCACTCACATTTATTCTAGTTCCTTACACACTCCCTTCAGGGCCTTGGACTCTGGGTGGGTTCCTTGGACTTTTTTGCTGCTGAACACAACAGATTAGTCTGGGTTGGGTCTGATGGGAAGGCTGCATCAGACTCAGAGGCCAAACAGAGGGATCTGACATTAGTAAGTAGATGCACAGATAATTAAAGGTCAACTTCACTGAAAAAAAGCATTTCTGATTATAATCAGTTGCTCTGAGTTTTCCATGCAGGCTGAACATGAAGCTAGTCTGCTACTCCTGTCTCCTGCATTAGCACCTGATAGAAAACAGACAGTGAAACTCTAGGATTTGAAAATCCTGACAGATTTACGTCAGACTGTCACTTAACATTCTCACCCATCTTGACTCGTGTTGGGGAGCTGCTGTTGGTTTAGCGTCAAGCTCCTCGGCGGCAAGGCTCCGGGGGGTGGATGAAATCCACCCGGAGTTCCTTAAGGCTCTGGATGTCATAGGGCTGTGTTGGCTGACGCAGCTCTGCAATATTGCATGGACATCAGTGGCATCTCCATGGGATGGCAGACCGGGGTGGTGGACCCCTTATTTAAAAAAAAGAAGGGGGGGGGGGGGGGGGTGCAGGATGTGTTTCAACTACAGGGGGGTCACACTCCTGAGCCTCCCTGCAGTTCTTCTCGGGAGAGAAGGGTCCATCAGATTGTCAAACCTCAGATTCAGGAGGAACAGTGTGGTTTTTATCCTGGCCGTGGATCACTGGACCAGGCTCTATACCCTTAGGGGGGTCCTGGAGGGTGCATGGGAGTTCGTCCAACCAATCTACATGTGTTTTGTGGATTTGGAGAAGGCGTTCAACCGAGTCCCTCAGGAGGCCCTGTACTTCAGGAGTGTGGGGTACCAGGCCCTCTGATACAGGCTGTTAGGCCCCTGTATGACCAGTGTCAGAGATTGGTCCGCGTTGTCAGCTGTAAGTCGGAGATTTGGACTTTGGCAAGGCTGCCCTTTGTCATCGATTCTGTTCATAATTTTTATGGACAGGATTTCTAGGAGCAGCCAAGGTGTTGAGATGATCTGTTTTGGTGGTGGAGTTCACAGCCGAGTGTGAAGCAGCTGGGATGAGAATCAGTTCCTCTAAATCCAAGACCATGGTCTTGAGTTGTAAAAGGGTAGAATGCCTTCTCCAGGTCAGGGATGAGGTCCTGCCCCAAGTGGAGGAGTTTAAGTATCTCGGGGTCTTGTTCATGAGTGAGGGAAAGCTGGAGTGTGAGATCGATAGGTAGATAGGTTTTTGATGTGTCTGCAGTGATGCGGGCGTTGTACAGATCTGTTGTGGTGAAGAGAGAGCTGAGTCAGAAGGCAAAGCTCTCGATGTACCGGTTGATCTATATCCCTACCCTCACCTATGGTCACAGGCTTTGGGTAGTGACTGAAAGAACGAGATCAAGTGGCTGAAATGAGTTTTCTCTGCAGGATGTCTGGGCTCCCCCTTAGAGATAGGGTGCGAAGCTCGGTCATCCGGAAGGGGCTTGTAGTAGACCTGCTGCTCCTCCACATCGAGAGGAGCCAGTTGAGGGAGGCTTCCGTGACCTTTAAAGAGCAAGTCACCCCCAAATCAACTTTTTTTTGCTGATAAACTACATAAATGTGTGTCTAATTGTGCTGCAGACACGTGTAGTCAATAATTTGGTACTTCAGTGCATCTTAGTTAAAATTTAAATATTCTGCCTAAAACTGTCAGTGTTGCGCCGTTGTCAGGTAAAAGCTCTGCACTGCATTTGAATTTAAATCTGCCACTGCTATTGGCTAAGAGGTATGCTATGATGTCATCTGGTACATTATGATGCCACAGTGCCGTTGTGAGCCTGTGTGTGTGTGTATTTGTCAGTGGCTCAGCCCTCTCGGTCTGCTAGGCAACAGCATTTGTTGCATTTTTCAAACATGAAGAGGGAGTGAAGTAAGTTTCTTGTAGGGGGTGACTTGCTCTTTAAAGAAATAATTTACATTTAAAAACTATAGTTTTATTCATGTGGTTGTTGAGGTACAAACATGTTCTTTAGATAAACCACACTCAAGACAATACTCGGACTGTCCTTCCCCAAAAAGTAAAACCAAAACAAAGTAATAACTCAGAATTGAGTCTTTTTTAAAATAAATATTTCTAAACAAATGCAAATATTGATTTAAGTCAACTTATGGTGGTTAATGTTTAAAAAAATTCAAAGTTGAGTTATTCAGGAAGTCTTTAACACGTTACATAACAAATGTTTAAACTGAAAAAAATAGGAACCATTTCAAAACAAATGTTTCCACAGCCAGGATTTAAATTACTGACCCAACACACTTCCTGCAGAACATCGGGAACCATTAGGATCCAGGAATGTCAATTACTGGCATAATAATCACATTGTGTCACATGTGATGTCATAGAAACTCAGAACAATCAATAGTTTCCAAAACAAAACTTCAGCAGTGACGTGTCCCTCCCCTGAGACTGACGAATGAATGTTTAGCTCAGAGACACGAGGCCAAGCACCGAGACTAAATGCTTTACATTTTTAACAGTTGTGATAATAAAATGACACAAGGACACTGAGGAGAAGGAATATACGTGCATCATGGCCACCTCTTCTCGCAGTCAGTAACAGACTTTCTCATCATCGAAGAAACAGTTGCTCTGCAGCTCAGCAGGAACCAGCTGCAGCGTCAGACCGATGCAGGAGAAGTTAAAGTGAGACATGTTTGTGTCTGAAAGACGGATCAAATAATGAGTTAGTTTTGGTAGTTAGTTCTTAGAGCAGCCTCTGTCTGGAGAAACAGGAATCCTTTCTGCTCAGACGGGTAATCCCACTGGGATCTGCAGAGGTGCCGAGAGACACGGCACCATTGTCCGTCAATCCAATGGCTCTCCAATAGACACACATGGACGGATGGAGTAGAGCGCAAATTTTAACTTGAGGGTGAACACAATGGAGAGGACATGTCTGTGATTGGTCAACCCAACAATAACAATTGCGGCAGCGGAAGATGGGCATTCTCCATCTCCTTCGCTCCAGTTGAATTCTGTGTAATAAAAGCTTTTGTTCCATGGGATCTAGCAGTTCCAGCTCAATGAAAACTTGCTCTCTGTCGGCCATTGCTCCTTAGCAGATTGGCGCTTCGCTACCCCAGCTTTGTTTTTCAAACTTAACAAAACAGGATTACAGTGATCCTTCGCTACTTCGTGGTTCATTTATCGCGGATTTACGACTTTGCGGATTTTTTCTTTGGAGCCTTATTCAAGGGAAATTTGCCGATTCGCGGTATTTTTCTATGCGAAATATCAAGAAATTCCTGTTTTTTTCATCAATTTCATCATAAAATGCAATTTTT